AGGGTGGGAGGCAGCTCTGAAGCCTGCTGAAAGGCCTGGGTACAAGATCTGAAGCCAAAGGCTCTGTCCCTCACCACCTGTGTGCTCGAAGGCAAGTTACCCACAGGAGCCTTGTCTGTAAAACGGAAGGAATACCCTCCTCATTGCGTCGTGATGAGGGTCCTCACATGATACACGCAAGGGCACTCTGCAAATCATCGTACTGCGTAAACGTGCGACTCTGCCTTAGTTCTCCTAAGCTCTCGGTGGCCAGCTGACCTGCTACAGCTTGGCCAAGTCTTATCATCTCTCTCAGCCCCGACTCCTCATCTATCGTTGGGGGGCAGAGGGCTGCAGCTCTCTGGGGTCCACTCCAACCCTGACAGGCTTGAGTCTGTGTGTTTAGTTGTCTGAGATTCTGACCCCTGTTTCATTCCCTCTGTTAAGAGTAACTCTACTGCTCATTCTAGCCAACCATGTCAAAGCAGTTTCACTCTGTCCACAGTCCCCAGCTGTCCTGGACATCTCCCCAGTACGGACAGGCTGAGTGAAGTCCTGGGGGTGGGGAGGGACCAAGGGCTGCGGACAATGTCTTAGGCCATCATTTCTTGAGCTCTGGGTGAGAGTAGGACCCGCTGGCCCAATGAGTCCTGCCGGAGCTAGGAGCAAGGAAAGGGGGCTTGGAAGGTCTTGCCTCTGAGCACCAATAGTAACCACCTGCCCTACATAGTCTTAAAGCCCCTACACAGCACCCCTCCACATCACACAATGTCACTTCCGCTTACTACCTCAAGCATGGAATCCTATAATTAGGGAACAGAGACTTCCACTCCACAATGAAAGAGAGAACTTAATTGCAAGTTTCTACGGGAAAGGTCACATGCACGTAACATTTTAAATCCATGGCTGGCCTTAGAGTCTCCCCTGAGAGCAGTTTGGGTTAAGAGGGAAGGGGTGAGGGCAGGGATCTGGGGATCCTTAGAGAAGACGGAACAAATACTCAAAAGTGGGTGATGTGGGCCTCTAGAATGGGCTTGACTGGCCTCACTATCTGCCTTGCATTGGGTTGCATTCCCACATGGCTGACAATGGAAGCTTCCTTTTTCCTCCCTCCCAGAGCAGCAGCAGTCCCTGGTGTAATGGCCTGGGAGTCAGGACCCCTGATTTCTCCTACCAACTAGCTCTGTGCTCCTGGGCAAGTCACTTGCCTTCTCTGGGCCTCAGTTCCTCGTCTGCAAAATAAGGCGGCTGAACAATCTGGTCTCCAAGGTCCTCTCCATCTCAGCCAAGCCGCTACTTCTCAGAAGCTTCTATTGAGCATCGAGTAGGGCTGGGCTGAAGGAGGCGAGCCGAGTAGGGGACCCAGAGCCTCCACAGAGGATGGGATGGTGCAGCTGCACCTGTGGCCTGGGGTGGCCCCTGCCCACCCGCCCGGGAGCCCTGCTCACCCGCAGCCAGCTGCATCCATGCGCAGATCTTGTAGACTGTGGCCGTGTTGCAGACGAAGAACAGGCTGAAGCAGATGATGGAGCCAATGATGAGGAACATGGCCAAGGCCACGAAGAACATGGCAGTCTTGAAGGCTCTGGAGGGGATGGAGGAGAAGTCCAGAGGGCCGCCCTTGCAGATGAGCTCGGAGGACAGCACGTTGCCCACGCAGTAGGAGAAGAGGCCGAAGTAGCCCGCCTGCGGGGTGTTGACGCTGTCCCCGATCCAGTAGGGCTGGATGAAGAGGGCCATGACCAGCACGGAGAAGCAGATGGTCAGCGTGCCCCACATCACGCCAATCGCCCTGGCGTTGCGCACGTAGTTGGTGTGGTAGATCTTGGCCGCCTCCTGGGCGGGGAGCAGCTTCACCATGGCGAGGGCGCGGGGC